GTTCATCCACGTCCGGTATCACTTCGACGCTGTCGGGGGAAGTCTTCGAGCTGTCCGCCGCTTGCGACGAACTTTTATTCGTGTCCAAACTGGAGAACGCGCTGGGCGACGGTGTGCTGTCGACGCTGTAGGAATACGACGAATTGGTGTTCAACGTTTTAACCTCCTCCATCGGAGATTCGTACGGAGAGATATCGGACGACGAAGCGTCTGCAAATTGTTCTCTGCTAGGTAGTTGTAATGTGCATTCTACATGCGGAGTGACGCATTCGTCTGCATCTAAAACGGGCGATAACTCCGAACTCTTTGGATCTATCGGAGATAGGAAAGGACTGCTGTCGCTTTTCCAATCTCCCAGAACTTCCACGGAGCTCGGCGACGTCACCAGACTGTCCGGCAATATCTCGACTGATTCGGAATTCACCTTGATGCCAATAGGACTTAACGAATTGGAAATGGAATTCGGATCCGATTCCGGTGTGGTGGTGCAATCGGTGTTAGATTGCGAGCCAAGTATCTCCACGCTCTCCAAACTTTTCTTATCGCTCTCGGAGGAGACGTTAGGTACTTTATGGAACACATTAGTGGAACTCGACGTTTGATTAATGTCGTTATTTTCTGATACCATCTCGTTACTGCACTGCCCTTCTTCATCGCTGCTCGATGTGGAATCATCAATATTATCTGTGGTTGGCGCATAGTACTCTTCCTCCAAATCTAAACTGGCACTTTTAGTTACATTCTTTTCGACACTAGTAGGAACAACATTATCTGAAGATGACTGCTCTGACGAGGTACAAGATTCTGATACAATTTTATCATTAGATTCTTTAGATATGCTACGATTAATATGTACAGACTCACTGACAACACTAGACTCTCCTTCACTTCTCTTATGTACAGATTCATTACTTATTATTATAGGCTTTGTGTCCTTTGTTAATTTTTCAGGAGCAGAAGCTGAAGATACCATTCCTAACTGTTCATCTTGACTGGCAGTATTTTGCAAGGACTTAGAATGTTTGAAAATCTTTCGTGTATTTTCATCTATAACCTTCGGGGCCTCAAAAAACGAACCTGTAAAGCTACCCCAAATACTGCTTGAGCTTGGCTGTTTCTGTGAATTGTTATCGCGTTTGTTTGCCTCCTCTTCATTTTGCAAGCCCCAACTCGCAAAGAAATCTGAAGCTTCATCTGTTTGATGTTGATGGGATTGAATCACCTTCGGTTCTTCCTCCTTGATATCCAGGGCTTTATCTATAGTCTTCTGAGCTCCCTTCAGAGCAGACTTTGCCAAATTGGCAAATCCTGTGGCATCAAACCAACTCATGTTTTATGCCTAAAATAAAGAAAATAATGTAAATTGATAATTGTGTTTCTAGATAAGAGTAGATATATATCTTTTATCTATTGTTATGTGATCAACTCTTAAAATAGCACCCATTGTAAACAAAATAACCTCAGTGTTTATCGTAAACATAAATATTGTTTACACGACACACAAAGTCAAATTAATTAAAATCATTTATATTATTTAAATCGACATAAACGATCAAATAATACGAGTTCAATGCAAAATGCATATGCAAAAGGATATTTTCATAATTATACAAGCTGTCAAAAACATTTTATTTAACCCACTGTTACACAGGGCATTTTTCTATATATTCTCGTTTATCGCAAACCGATGTACATACATGACATTCTCTAAAATGAGGGTCGTGACGGTGAAACACGTTCATGCTCGCGGATTGTTTCACTGATTGCGATCGACTTGCGTATTAATTGTCAAAATGTATTTAGCAGTCGACATATTCGTGACGGGGGTGTCATGTGTGGTCGTGGCAGTGTTGTCATACCTCCATTCTTGCCAACATTTCTCATTCGGCGGGCGAGGTGCAGCGCTCGTCAATGATACTTGTTTTGATTTGTTTATCGCTCTCTAGTTGCTCTCGATTGAAAATCCTTTCCTCGTAAAATTCATAAAATGTAACGTGCAATCTAAATTTTATAATGTGAAAATATGAAAATTAGGCCTATACTCTATATGTTGCAGCTGCACTTTGTACACTTTTTTCTTCTTTCTCTCTCAGAAGCATTAAGTTTAGTTTGGTTTTTTCGTTGAGGTGCTATATTTTACATCTTTTCTTTTTTTTTCAAAAGAGTAAAATACGTGACGTTAGAAAATTTTTAAACGTGCACAGCTAAAAGATGCCAGAAAGTCACAGAAAGTGTGGCTAAACTTTGCGGCATGACAAAATATTGGTTATGAATTGTCGTCGCTATTAACCTTTTTACAAACTCTGCAAGTTAATCGTTTGTGTATTATAATGCAAGATAGACACCGCGAATACATGAATAAGTATATTACAGTTATATACTTTGCAAACAATCAAGGTAAAATTCAGAATCTCATTTTTTCTCACTTAATTTTCATAAGAGTCATGTTCAAAACAATGTGATAATTTGTAAAACAAAAACGACATACTTTTGACAATATCGATACCGTGCCAGAAAAGCCCCGTTTTAGTGGCCTTATTCTCAACAGCTCCAGTGGCGCAATTGGTTAGCGCACGGTACTTATAAGACAGTGTTCGTGAGCAATGCCGGGGTTGTGAGTTCGAGCCTCACCTGGAGCATATTTTTTTCGTTTTTAATATTTATTAATATAAAACTAAATATTTTAAAATTATTTCAATATATTGCTTACACGATCAATTATTAAAATATATGATTAATCAGTCATCAACTTACTACTGCAAAATCTGCAATAACATAATTCTGATTCAAGAATAATATTTACTTTATCAATTGTCATACATTAAAAAGTTATTTAACAATATTTATATTACGAAATGAAACATTTTTTATTAGTATTAATTAAGAAATTATAATTACAGTCTATGTTTGCAGAAGTGTGACATTAAAATATTTTTAATGATCAAGAACATAAAATGAATATTACAGCATAATAAAGTATTTCTATCTGTGCTAATTACATATATTATATTAAAAGTAATGTTTGTATATCTATCTAAAATATTTATCAAAATGACATTTTGATTACAGCTGCGAAAAGGAAAAAAGAAAAACGTGCGTGCATAATATTGGCGATAATGGGGGCTAGGAATCTGGAAATGGGTACGATGTGATCGTATGCGAGTCACAAAAAGGCGCTCTGACCCAAATTGATCGAGGTATAATGGACAGCATGAGAGGAAGGACGATATATATCTCGCCGTTATCATTATTAATGGCAGCCACGTTAAAATCGAAGATGCGAGCGATGTTTTATGCTAAGTATTCGATCGTCAGCCAAATCACGAAATGAGGTACCTATTAAATGAACTGGCCGCCAGTGTTCGCCGATGTTTGTTCGTCGCGCGGAACAATGACTAACAGAATCCGGTTTCATAAAGGTGTACGCTTTAAAAGCGCTTTAAAAGGCCACCCGCAGGTTTGTCGATCGTCAGTCACATCCCGCTATTCAATTTGAAAATGCCTCGATTGCGTTATAATCTGCAATACGAAATGTGGTCGACGCAGGTAATCATCTTGAACATTTTTAATTGTCTGATTTTAATCCCTGAATTAAAGGAAAATGTTTCCTTCTTGTAAACGTCTATTAATTAAGAATTAAGATATTGTATTAATCAAAGCTAAAATTCTAACTTGCGCGTTCTACTTAAACATTACGTTAAATTTTATAGATATATCGATGGCTTTTTTTCATCAGCGCAATATCTTCGAGAAGCCTCGCGAACAGATTGGAGTCTCGAAACACGGTCCTCGTGAATTTTCATCGCAGATACAACGTTTCTAACATGGAAATATTTCACAACAACGGCTATTTACCTCCAGCCTCAGTTCCGGATGTTTCATTGCCGGAAGTAATCGATAACAGAGCGCGAAATGTGGTGGCAGCGGTGACGAACAAGACCGGAAACTATCCCAACGCGTTGTATCATCTCTCCCAACGGGATTCCTTGCGAGCCTTCACGCGAAACGGCTTACAAAGTACAAGATATCCAGGGAACGATGGGTTGCAGACACATCATCGTCGACCTGTCTTTCCGCAAGGCAAATACTCTCCACAGACTACAACGCAGCCTCTTCCTGATGATATATCGGCATCTTCCTTCGCAAATCGCATCAGCATTGAAGAGATGTCTTGTCAGAACGCGGGAGACGAATTGTTTTTCAGGTATTGAATTTCGAGGCATTGCGGTTTCGCTCTTATTTTTCACATCGCAATACTTTTTTCAACTTTTTAAATCTAGAGTAAAATAACATCTTTTACTTTGCCAAAAAAGTAGAAAAAAACTAATATGGAAAATTAAGAACAAGATAAACTTTCCAATCATTTAAGTTTTTTTATTTTTACATGTCACAATTTGGAATTATAGAGCATCTATCAAGGCACCGAAGAGTTTGGCACCGCCGGTGATAGACAACGTGATGGGTGAAGCCTGCCGAGTGATAACAATCAGGGACTCTTATCGCGTCAATTTTGAGAGGGATCAAGTCTGGAATTGCGGAGTCGTCGATTGTTCCACAGACGGCAACCAATCGTACTGCCTCGTGCTGAGATTTCCCGTGATTTCCGGTTTGCGATTGAGGGACGATCACAGTGTGACGTTGCGATGTAAAACTCAGGACAAAATCGCGCATCACACTAGGCGGATCAGCGTGAAAACTTTGGAAGCGTAAGACGCGTCATTTGTCTTCCGGCGAAGGTAGCAAAACCAAGCTTTCGTCTAGCGGAAACTAGGCTATTCAGATGTATATGCTTCCTTCAGGAAGGCAAGGAACATTCCAAGTGTGCTAAGCGGCGGCTTCAGGAATGCTCTGGATGTGGATGTGGGACTGTTCAGAAAGACTTACGGCTCGGAAAACATTTTCGACACGAGAATACAATCAGGCGGCACGGTCGTCCTCGGCGAGGAGATTCTGCTGCGTGTGTTAGTGAACAATGACGATGGTAAGTGCTTCAATATTATGTAACAACGATAGCACCTATATTTTTATGCCTTTAATAAGACTAATATTTATGAAATTCTGAAAATGGCTTTATATAATTTTCAGTTTTTTAAAATTTATAAATTTAGAAACTCGAAAAAGACAAATGGAAATATGTAAGAAATTAATTAATTTGCAATTCTGTTAAATCAACAATATACGAATCAACTATACGATCAAATGTACATAAAAATTAATTCATGATTAAAATCATTAACCATATAATTATCTGATTACAATAATCATGCCGTTAATTACGCCAAACACTGGGACGTAGTTAAACGGTAAAAATTATTTTAATTATACGATTATAATTTTTAATTTTACCATTTTTCGCACGATGAAGGCTGGCGGCATTCGAAAATCGGCCAGGTGACGGTACACTATGTAGAAGAGAGACAGCAGCAGAAAGTCATCAACAGTCTGTGGATTCTAGACAAGGATGGTTGCTTGAATTCGGACGTGCATGATATCTGTCCTCGGGAGCAATATTTAGCGTCGCCGTTAGAAAGCTACTTGATCTTCCAAGCGTTCATGTTCGAGGGCATGAAAGAGACAGACGAGATTTTCTTTACTGTGAAGGCCATGGCGTGTCTGGATCCCGTAGATTGTATTCTGGATTGTCCTGCCGGTCACGTTCGACGTGCCAGGAGCGTCCCGGATCGAAACGACACTGCCGAGTGGCAGGATGATATAATCCTACGAGTGGTTCTTCCAAAATACGCGACGCGCACGTCGCAAAATTATTACTTAGCGATCTTGTTATCGGCAGTTGCGCTGCTCGCGCTAATCGGGCTTTGGTTCGTTCAAACCTCGTTTCGCCGAAAGATATCGAAATATTGAATAATAAATGTTTTTAATTTAATTTTATCTATATTGTAGATATATAAAATGTCAAGTTGTATATATATGGAATAAAAATAAAATGTTTGTTGCCATCAATCGCACTAATTAATTATACATCGATTATAATGATCTCATGAGACGCGGCTTGGCATCTCCCACGCATCCAGCTCGGAACAGAGCTTCAGTCCGACCGCGAACAATGCGAGAGACGCAAATATGCTTCTCACAAACGGATCTCTGCTCAGTGTGTACACCATGCAAGCCAGAGAGCAAGTGCACACGTCTTCAAAGTAGCTGAAGCCCTTCGTCAGATAATAATGATCTATGATCCGCTGCTGTTCTTTCAATTTGCGCATAATGTGTTCTGCAATACGAATGTCGGTTCATAAAATGCAAAATAACGTATGAAAAATCGATATTTCAGGAGACGACGTGCATTGACGTTCTCTTATAAAAGTAAGCTAACTGCTCGCCTTTTTGCTCCTTTACCAAAGGGCACGTTTCATCGCAAGCGTCTTGCGCAGCCCTACGCGAGACGATACGCTTCGCTCTTGTCGAGTTTGCGGGAGCAGTTCTGATAGTTATTTCTTCTCGTTCTTCGGGTATCGCAGTCGTCGCTTCTCGCTCTCTCGGTGGTCTGACAGCTCTCTCGCGATCAATTTCCTCGTACAAGGCAGCCGCATCCTTGGAAATTTCTCGACGCACCTCCCTCGGCTCCTCCGGAATTTCCTTCGCTATTACGGCGGGCAAGGCCTCTTGCAATTCCTCGTCGATGAATTTCTCATAGTCAGTCAGCGTTTCTTCACCCTCGTCAGGTTTTACGCGTTTCTCCAGCTCAACTGGAATTGCCGTTTCACATTACTATTGGTCGTAATTATTCTTAAACTCGTTAATTTTAATTACAATACTCTTCTGCTTCCACCGATGGTTCTAAGTCAATCTCTGCCGGTGCTGCCCGATCGATTTCGAGTTCCTTAATCGCAACCGGAACTTCCTTCTCTTCAATCAAATCGATTTTCTTGTCATCGCGCTCGGCTATCTTTTCTGTACGAATAACAGTTGGTTCCTGAATAATTGCAGCTTCTTGGACCAATTCTTTTTCTTCAACCAAATCGATTTTCTTGTCATCGCGATCTGTTATCTTTTCTATCGGTACAATAGCTGGCTCTTGAATAACTGCAGCTTCTTGGCCTAATTCCTTTTCTTCAATCAAATCAATTTTCTCGCCATTGTAGTCTGCTATTTTTTCTGTCAAAATAACAGTTGGTTCTCGAATAATTGCAATTTTTTGTACTAATTCCTTTTCTTCGGCCAAATCAATTTTCTTGTCATCGCGATCTGTTATCTTTTCTGTAGGTATAATTGGTTCCTCGACAGTTTTCACTTCCTGGATGACTACTTGTTTCTGAATGGGTCTCGCCTTGATGTCTTTCAATAATTTAGATGGCACATCTGTCTCAATCCTTTCATGATCATCAACTGCCGCTTTCTGAACATCCGCTTTAATCACCCGTTTTGGCTCATCTTGTGTGTCTTTCGGAATAATATCCGATGGTACTCGGGAATTCACAGCGTTTCTCTTCCGCGGAAAAATTCCATCCAACAACCAAGGCGCTTCCGCAACTAGTTTAAAAGCATTTATGCAATAAAATTTACTATTAAAGCTATTTTGATTCCAAGACATACAAACTGACGTACTTGCGGCGCGGATTTGTCTCTTCACTGTAGGACAAGTTGGAGGACATAGATTTCTTATAGATTCATTAGACATTTAGAAGTTAAATATAACGCTTGCTTGTGTAGATTACATATTTGTATATAAGACACATTCATTATTTTATGATCTCATAGAGTTAGCAAAAAGAACTTTATTTAATTTTCTGCAATTCAACATTGTTAATTCTGCTTTTAACATTTGTTGAGGTTGACAAGCAGATTTTATATTTCGAGTTTAATAATCTGCATTGATTTTGCGTCTATATTCGCTTTATAGACGTAAAATATTTTATAACCAAACGAAACGATGAATTCATCCAATGAAAGTGTCCCAGATTATTTAAACAAAAATATATTCCCAGCTTTATTAAATGCAATGGAGGAGATGTTACGCGAAGCTGATCGCCGAAATGCCCTCGAAGTAGAATATTACTATTCTACAATTTTCCAGATAATTACAGCATGTGTTTTTAGCATTAATACACAAAGAATATATTAGAAAAAAATCACTATGCTTTGCAGACACAAAAATGCTCTTTCAATGGATTGGATTATCTTGCAGAGATTCTTTGGAATCGAAACTCGTATCATCCGAATAGATCACGTACTTGGCTGAATGTTTTTAATATACCGGAATTTAAATTGTGGCTAAGATCACAGTAAGAAAAAAATATATTGCTATTTCTTACGAATTTTAATAATCTTTTATCTTTTTCTAGTCCTCGATCAATTTATCCACAATCATGGCTGTGGAGCAAAGAAGAGGCTGTCTTACGCATACAAAGATACGTTCGAGGTTGGCTTGTGAGAAAAAGAGCGGATGTCCAGGAGATGCGTCAGTTTTGGAAGGTATTCATACAATTAAACAAGAAAATTATAATACATACTAGCTGTTGTGTAAATTATAGGTCATTCATGCGGAGAAAATGAATAATTCTACTTCTGAATTTGGTTGTACATCCAATAAAACCAAATAATAAAAGTTACCTGATCATTGTCTCTTCATGTTTCTTCTTAAAGTAATTTCTTAAAGTAATTCATCACTTTTCAAGAATAACTTATAAAATATTTATTCTTAAAACCAACTAACATCTGTTAATACATAATCTTACTTAGAAGACGTCTCTTCTGACTTTGGGCAAAGAACACTAGAGTCATCCAGACCAAAGTCCAATTTCACTGTTGGAGTTTCATTCTTCTCAGCTAATCTATAACTCTTCTCGCTCGCTCCATTCAAATTATACCGAAGAAACAATTTTGGTACTTCAGGTGCTGCAACATCTTTCGCTTTCATCTGTTGCATTATTAACTGAGAAAGTAGCGGTGGGAAATCTGTTTCCGTAGGTAGAATTTTCATCTCCGGCACTTTTGTATTTAAAACGTACAGATGCTCCTGGTCTTTCGGTATTAACATGTAATCAGCTTTATAGGTCACAGCATCCAACTGTACAGGTTTTGGGTTTTTTAAACCACGGAAAACTCTCTCAACCAGTACCATAACTTTACGATCGGTCTAAAAAGAATTAAATTATGTTAGAATCTAATACAAATTAGATTCTTAGAATCTGATATAAATAAATTTATAACTAACAGTGATACTACTTTTAATACTTACATAAGGCTCTACGGGCATGGGCATTGCAGCGACTTTCAGTATTTTTATATAACATGACTCGGGATATCTCTGAAAACGATTCCTTATCACTATCCTTCCGACGCCGAAGTTTTTCAAGTTGCCCAAAATCTCCCATAAGGGTTTTCCCTTGAAATCTGTCGTGCGCCCGATGAACTTTATAGGCATTGTGTACGTTTAACCGGTGAGAAGTCGTCAACTTGTTGACACTTGTATTTCGCACAGATTTTTTTCCTAACAATTGATTTTACACAGGAAGTTACCGTTTCGCTTCTTTGCGACGTTATCTTCAATTATTTGTGAGATACAATATCGAAATCAACACCTATCTCACAAAAATCACATATATTTAATAAAAACAGTAGAGGTTAGAAAAGAGGTTAGGAAAAACTTTGAATGGTTAGGTTTACTATCCCTTTTACATCACAAAGGAGATCACAGATGGCGGTAATAGTCGCGAATATATTTTCGAGCATACTCGTATGAAGTCGGCGATATATTTCGGAGTGTTCTTACCGTTTCAAATTTAGTAGTATAACAGATAGTGCAAGTAACGCGCACATTCGTGGTTTATGAAAGGTATATTAATAACTTTTTAGATGTCTAAGATATTGAAAAAGTCAGAAAAGCATCTAAGAAGTATTCTCATTCTTCGTATGTATTATAAGCGACTTTGACATATCTTTTCGGCATCTGTAAAGCTCGCGTTTCGAAAATGCAGAAATTTCAGACTAGAAAAGGATAATTCGTAGAAATGCTAGACATTGCAAAATGGCGGTATTTAGTTTTGCATGGAAAAGTATTCTCTCTTTGAAGTATGGATCAAGATACATTAGTTGAACACATTAATAAGAAAGTGGAAATATTATGTTTGTTGTATTTATGATATGTTTATTGTTTTATGTTTATCATTATTTATATTTTACTTGATCTCTCCAAATATTTACTCTTGCAATTTTTAATTACAGTGTTGAATGCAGTTCTGGATGGTTTTCGGTAGATCGTAGTTATGCGAAAGCCACGCGGGAGAACAAGAAGACAATTGTGGAATATAGGTATGCAAGTTATTTATTAAATATGAGTTGTTGCAAAGAAAATGCATTACTTGACGATCCGAATGCTCGAATCCTGCTTCACAATTATATGTATGTTTTATCAACCGATGCACAAACGATGCGAAAGCGCACAAAATTAACCTGGCACGTAATCTAGAGACCTATGTGCTATTTACAATAAGTTAAGAGTTTAAATAAAAAATACTTAATCTAGATAAACAAAAATGAATAACCGAACTGAGTAACCGAATAAATATCTCTTCGTTTTGAGCCTGCTGCCTTAACCATCAAAATTTTCGTAGAATAAAAATAACATTTTAGTATAAATATAACAATATGTATAAATATAATTATAATTGAAAAAATATATTCTGCGCTATCATTATCAAGTAAATTTTATACGTTAGATGATGAAAATTATGTAATTTAGAGAAAATTAATGAAATTTGATCGTTTTTTTTACATCTTAAGAAAAATACTTCTTAATAATTAGACCGATTCTTCTGTTACTTATAGTTTATGATATCATTGATCCAATCAAGATAGTGAGAAACGCGTACGTAGACGCCTGGCACACCGGCCTGGCCACAGCCGATGCCCCATGAAACCACTCCAGCTAATTCCATGTGTTCTTGACGTTGACAGACCATCGGACCGCCACCATCTCCTTTGCATGCATCTTTTCCTTCTTCGCCACCGGCACAGATAAAGCCCTTATGCAGATTGAAACTGGGACCTAGCCGCGTGTTTCTCATATGCTCCTCGCATATGCGGTTGCTCATTACAGGTACGTCCACTTCCTTCAGAATGTTCTGGTATTTGCCATAGTCACCGAAAGCGTCCTTGCCCCATCCGGTGGTCCAGCATCTGCCGTATTATGATTATTTATTACATTTGGATAACAACGCACTGCACTGATAATTAGAAATTATTTAGATAAATCTAATTTTCTATCAAGATCACATTTAACTGTTAATAATGCAACGTTTTAAATAGATTTTAATCAGTTAGATAGTTCGTATTTTATGACAAGATTCTATCGATATTAAGTTTGACAAATCTATTAATTTTTTTAATATATGCCATTGATAATATAATTTGTTGCAATACCACACATATTTAGAAAAATTTGGAAATCAATATAATAATGTTGCAACATTTAGCAACTGTAGCCTTATGTGGATCTTAAAAGTTATTAAAATTCTTGAAATTTATCAATTTTGAATTCATTAGTGATAAAAATAATATTCGTAATTTGCTTTGTTTTGTAAAACGCACCTTGTTCCGATGAAGTCGTCGTGGCGGTTCGGCAGACAGGCGGCACTAATATGAGGGTTTTTTACAAAATCGACGTCGTGATCTAGCTTGAGAATAGCAAGGTCATTGGCGAGAGTGCCGGCGTAGAAATCAGGATGCACGAATACGCTGACGATGTCGCGTTCAATGTAGGGATAGAACTCGACGTCGTGATTCACATCCCACTCGCCCAATCGTGCACGAAGATCACGACCAGAGTGAGTCTTCACGCAGTGAGCGGCAGTGATGATGTGACGCGGTGAGATCAATGTTCCTCCGCAAACGTAGACGCTTTCCTGAGGATCCTTCTTCAGGATAGCCACTTGCCACGGGTACTCGCCTAAATTAAATAAATTTTTCTATTATAATAATTTGAAATATATATAATATTAAAAATATATATTTGATTGATATGAGTAAAGAATATATAAAATTATACATTAAATGTTTGATGTATTTAAAAAATTATTTTAGAATTTAATAATATTAAATAATATAATGATGACTAGATCGTAAACTTTTAAACAATTTTCATTGAAGCAGATCGACGCGTATCCATAAAATTAGCAACAATAAGTAACGGTATATTGTTAAATATTATTAATCTTGAAATTATAACAAAGAAGAGATGCGTGTGTGTGTGTAGCATTTTTAGTCTTTTCTATTTCAATATTCTTAAAGCATAGCTGTTCTCCAAAAGGTTTTTAACTCAAGATACTGTCTTTAATTTAAATAATTGACAATTGGTAATTCCATTCAGTAAATTACATTAAGAAATCGCGTACCGAATTCAGAGTCGCCGTCGATGTAGACCGGAGTCTTGATACGCCCATTGATGCCCTGTGTGTTCCTAACTCCGCATTGAAGTCGATGGGGTGTCCCTATTATGTGCGATCGTCGGCAGCAGACGTGATGCGAACCGCAAATCGGCTGACGTCCAAGCTGTCTCTGCGGAAAGAAATAAGTCGGTTAAATCGATCTCGCGAGAAAAACTCGTGCCCGATGACAAGTTCTACTTATCGTTTCCGACTTTTGTCTGTACTGTACAACACTGCGTTGCCGCTCAGTTTGACAGTCTCGGTTCGTAAGTTCGCAGCGTCTTCGTATCACGGTACTCTGTCGTTGACAGCCTAATCGCTTACAGCGGCTTTATGACCTATCACAACGGTTAAATCGGCTCAGCGAAGCGAGCGGACCAACCGACCCGTCCTTACCTCCGACGTTCTCGTTTCGCTAAATGTCGTCGTGTCGCGCTTCCTTCTGTCCGCGAAGGTAATCTTTCCACTTGTCTGCCGCTCACCGCCGGCAGCCGGTCCCCGCGGAGTGTCCTTCGCCGAGAGCTGTCTGCTCTTCGTCGCGTTCCCCACGCGAGCGCTCCGATAGTAATCGTCCGCGTAATCGTCATCCGAGTAGTCGTAGTCGTTGCCGTAATCGTCGTCCTTGTAGGTGGGATAGTACTCGCCCGGATAGTGCGGTTTATGGTGGATCGGATAGTGCTGATGGACACCGTGCGACGGATAGAACGGCGGCCGCGACGGATAATGAGGGATCGGTCGCCCGTGATGCGTGTGATAATGAGGAGCGTAAACGCCCGGGTATCCGCCGTAATGTCCGCCGTATAAACTCTGCTTCTTGTAGGCCAGCAGATGGCCCAGCTTGTGAACGAGCGCCGGATTCGGCGATACGTGGAGATTTACGTAAGGCTTAACGACCTTCTCACCGTACTCGTCTTTGGTAACCTGCACCGCTACGAGCGGATTCACGGACACCGGGCCGAGATTTATACCCTGTCCACCACCGGCCAGCCCGTGGCCCGGCGAGTACCCCGGGATTCCCAGGGGATTACCAGGGTGGGGCGCGATCGGGCCGACACCACCGGTCTGCGGTAGGCCGAAACTGATGCCCCAAGTCGGCCTCACGTTCAGTTTCGAAGTGTCCAGATTGCCGGTCCCTATCGTCAGTCTCTGCAACGAGAGAGTCGAACAAATTCACGTCGTTTCTGCTTGCCCCTCTCTCT